AAAACTATGATATGCAGAAAAATAAACTGAACAACTTTTGCCTCAGTGTCACATAGAAATTCTTTGGCCCGGCCGGGCAAGTGCCCCCGGGCCACTCTGGTAGCCTAATATATATATATATTTGTGACGATATATATATATTTTTCACAAATATATATATTTTTTTTCTTTACGATTGGACTGGTTACTAGACTCAACTATGTCACAAGATTTGGTCCAGCCCAGCAGCAGCGACAATAGGATGAAGAAGGTACCAAACACCAAGACAGATCAGCAAGCAATACAGGTTAAATGAGGGGATGCACTTCACTCCAATGAACGTTCCGTTGATGAAGCTCCACAGCCGCTCCAACACTCCAACGCAGCAGCAATCAGGTACGTAATCAAGCCACTTCTTCTTCGGCCTACTTCTTCTCTACCCCCTTCGTCAATCTTCTCCCCACTCACCTTTCTTCCTCACTTCCCCTCTCGCCGGTCTTAATCACTACCAGCGATAATCAGTGGGTGCAGCGAGTAACTGCTCTGATACCAGTTTGCAATGAACCTCCTAGTTCAACACCAGTGAGCGCACATATTCACACCACATGCATGTATGAGATCACACGAAATTCACACTGGAGTCCAGAGAAATGAAGACCAGGTAGCGCAGCTTATCATTTCCAAGAAGTATTACAAGAGCAATAAGAGTTCAAGTCACCAGCGCTCATCAGCGCGCGCCAAAGGTAACCAATGATCAGCATAAGCTCTCAGGTAAGTATCTCTTCCCCTCTGCTCTTCTCTCTTATGTAACTCTCCACCTTGCTGGTCTTCTCCCTAGCTATGTCCTCGCTGTGTCTTCTCTCCCTTCATGCATGCACACTCACTAACTTCTAACTTCTATTTGAGGATCTACTCTGAATACACCCACTGTCAACTCTACTAACCCCTCTGGAGTCTACCACTAACAACTACCTTCTTCACCCGAATAGAACGCCTGGTAATTATTTCTGCATCTGGTCTGACATCTGGGCCAAATGCAGCTATCGTCACCGGGCGTTCTATTCGGGTGAAGACGGTAGCTCTAACACTTCTGCACTGGCGCGCTATGGCTGCCTTCTCCCTGCCAGCGCTATCTTCCTCTCTCTCCCTCACTTAGCGCAGCACTCTGGCTTCAGCGCTCTGCTCCTCTCTTCAGCGCACAAGTGCACCAACACTTCCACACTTCTAGCGAATGAGCAATCTCCCCGAGTGGTAGGCTGGCCAGTCCTTTTGCAGTCTTGGAATGCTATTCAACTCGTGCCAGCCTTACTTTCTGGGACCTGGCTGGTTCTGGTACCACATCCCTACGGCCTGTCTGTTTGTGATTGTCAAGGCCTGGAACCTTCCCGAATTTCCTTTGGTCTGCTGCTGCTTGGGCCTTTGAGTCGTGACTTTTCACTTGTGAACATGACTTTTGACTGTGGAATGTGACTCCTGCCTCTGGAACACTACTTTTGCCTGTGGAACTGTCCTTTTACTTGAGGAATGTGAGTCTTCAATATGACTTTTCATCATGAGACGTGACTCCTGCCTTTGAGACATGACTCTTAACTGTCCTTTTACTCGTGGAATGCGACTCTTCAATATGACTTTTCATCATGAGACGTGACTCCTGCCTTTGAGACATGACTCTTGCTTGTGAGGCTGCCTTTTCACTCATGGGATGTGACTCTTCTAAATGGCTTTTTATTATGGGACATGACTCTTGTCCCTGAGATGTGACTGTTTGCTGGGTGCCTGTCAGACTGCTGAGGTACCCGACTGTGACTTTTCTGAGTTTGACGAACTCGGCCTTTTCTTGACCTGGGCAAATGACCCTGAGATCCGAATTTGGGGTCTGAATCGTGGAAGGCCTTTCATCAGCCCAAATCGAGCGCCTGGTCATTATCGCTGCATCTAGACTGAAAGTTGCACCAAATACAGGTGTAATGACTGGGCGTTCTATTCGGGTGAAGACGGTAGTGTTGTTATAGGAGGAATGGGATCAGGCTATGAAAAGCAGGGGTGGAGAAGCAGTACATCCTTTCTGAAGCAGCAAGCAACCAACGCTTCATAACGAGGGCGGTACCTTTCTCAACCAAGAAGCAATCAATGCTTCTTATTTGGCAGAAGCAGGGGTGGTACCTTTCTGTCACAAGGTCCCTTGATCGTAAAGAGGGGGGAAGCGCCGAGTGAGTACTACATGTGAGGAACGCTGGACCCCATTTCCAGGCATTCAATAAGAAAGTCGGTTTCCTGATTAGGTCAAACCACAACCTTTCAGGCTTACCGAAGTGGGCGGTGATGTTAGTCCAGAGAAGTAGGAGCGGGTGTTCTGAAAAGGAGGAGGACAATTGACAAGACCATAAGTAACGCAATTGACAGGACCACAACCTTTCAGGCTTACCGAATTGGGCCTCACTCGACTACTCACCACACGTGCAAAACGAGAACGGATCTTCCGCCAGAACATGCAAAGATACACAGCCGCATTTGTTGTCTTGTTTTTGCACATGTGGTGAGTAGTGGAGTGAGGCCCATTATCTTTGATGCGTGTAATTAGGCAGTGGAGGGTATCCTCTTCCTGGTCTGAGCAAACAAAAAGCTCTGTCTGAGCTCTTGGGATCGTTTTATATTCGTCTTGTATGAAGCCAGAGATTGACTGGTAGAGCTACGTTGGTCGTGTAGTGAGACAGGTGAACTTTCTTGCAATCAGAAACCTCACCTGTCGCTATACCCGACCATATAATCGCTTCTGGTCCATCGATCATCAGTTCTGGTACTGTATCTTCTTCCCAATTTTATTTTTTTTGTCGAGTGTACCATATGAACACAGTAGCCACCTGTGCAAGCATCTGTCTAGCCTGACCTCAATGAAAAGTAACCAGATCATTTTATAATATTATATAGTATATACTGTTCCACTCTTCTTCTGGACCACTGTTCCTGACTACCTTCTTCCCCCGAATACAATGTACGGTCATTATAGGCTTTTTATAGCTGTATTTGAGGCATCTTTCAGTCCTGATAAAGCTATAATGACCATACGTTGTATTCGGGAGAAGAAGGTAGCAAAAGCTCTCCTGCCTGATGTTAGCTCATCAAAGATTAGGGAGGGCTGAGGAGTGGCGAGGAGTGTTGGGGAAAGTTGGGCAGTATTGGTAGTGCTGGGAAGTTGAATTGTACTTCGATTGTTCGAGACATGATCCCTCCCTCATGGGGAGTTTTGGGAAACTGGATCATACTTAAACCGTCCAAGTCACAATCCCGTCCGTCGTGAGGAGTGCCAGGGAGTGTTGGGGAGTGTTAGGGAGTGTTGGAGACTTTCGAGGAATGTTGGGCAATGTTGGGGAGTGTTGAGGAGTGTTGGGGAGTGTTGAGGAGTGTTGGGGAGTGCTGAGAAGGGGGTGAGGGTTATGCTTTGCACTGTTTCTTGAGACACAATCCCCTCCTCATACCAGGATGGTTGTCTTCTATCTCTTCTGAGAAAGGGGGACACACCTTGACATTACTATGTCCAACAGGGTTTGAACTCTTGACCAATTTGTTTTCAAGTACAGGTGTGCGCTGGTCAGCCCATCTGGTCCTATACATGGTTTTATCCAGCAAGGACATAGGTACACTCATTTTCATTCAAGAGTGTTGATGTGATTCAATCTTTTTAAAACTCTTAACACATTTCTTTCTGAGTTCACCATCTTGCATGATGTGCCAGATGAGATCGGGCAGATGGAGCCAGCCCAGGTGTGCTAGAGGTGCCTGCTCCTATCAGCACTCCTAGCATTACCAAAGGGAGGTTTAAAAAAAAAAAAAAAAAGGATCAAGCACTTACTGCTGGTTCACTTTGCAGACAAAGTTAAGGAGCCCAGATAAGATCCCTGTCTTCTTGTCTCCCCAGCGATTACTTCCCTCCAGTTCAGATTCCTTGACAGCTCTAAGTTTTCCTTTCTTCTTTCCGCTTGGATGAAGATTTTCAAGAGCAGCACGCGAACTGCTCTCTGCCTCCTCCTGAGTACCCGGATCGCCCTCGAGCTTGACATCTGGAACGGGAAGAAGACTGACCAACCCACGGGAAAGAGGAATGTTGCCGGAACCCTGACCGGTATACCCCTTCACAGGCTGGATAGCATCTGGATCCCGAACAGGTACCTTAACTGCATCAACGATGTCAGCAATCGACTTCTTTGAAACGTCCTTCGCACGGGCTGCAAGTAATAACCACACAAACATTCACCCACAAGAAAATGTGAATTCCCTGAAAGCGGGGGGGGGGGGGGGGGGTTTGGGGGGGGGGGGGGGGGCCGGGGGATGGGGATGGGGTTGGGGATGAGGGTGGGGATGGGGGCAAATAAGGAGGACGGGTTGTTAGAGGACAAGAATGCAGGAGACAGCCCCTGTGTGGGATGCCTGAACAAATGTGACGAGTTTGTGTGGGAGTTCCCTACCTGGGGGGGGGAGTGAGGGGGCACTAGGGTAGCCTAGCAGTCCGGGAAACCAGCGTGGAGGTAATAGGCGACAAGGTGTGATTACGCCTCCTGGCCTCTACCTGGGAGTTCCCTACCTGGGGGCGGAGTGAGGGGGCACTAGGGTAGCCTAGCAGTCAGGGAAACCAGCATGAAGTGCCATTACGCCTCCTGGCCTCTACCTGGGAGTTCCCTACCTGCGGGGGGGAGTGAGGGAGCACTAGGGCAGCCTAGCAGTCAGGGAAACCAGCGTGGAGGTAATAGGGGACAAGGTGGGATTACGCCTCCTGGCCTCTACCTCCCGTTGGCCACGCTGGCTGAGTTCGCTGCCCTGCGGCCCCTGCCGCGAGCGGGTCAGGTGCCGGCCTGGGCTGAGACCCCCCCCCCCTTTTCCTGTGCTATGCTATCTCCCTGGACTTCTCGATCCTTGTCTGTCCATGCTTGCCACTGATAAGCAACCGGACTGATGCCCCCCAGAATAGAAGTGGACTGTGTTTGATTGTAAAAAAAAAAAAAAAAAAAAGGCTGAAAGTTCATGTCTGCAGGCTCTGCAGTTTACAGTTTTAGAAGCTAAAAAAAAAAGAAAGTTTGAATATGAGGACCCATATTTGCAAGGGTCTATGGACTGCATGCCCCCAGATATCATCTGAAAAGGTATTGCGCCTGGATGGTCGTGGACGGGGCCTTACGGTCCCAGATCCTTTCCATTCTGGGGAGCATCGGTCCAGTTCCTGTTCCACTTACGGCCGGAGGAACCTCCAACAGTGTTGGACAAAGGGAGGTAGTGTGAGGGAGAGAAGTAGGATACGTATGGAGAGAGAGTAGGGAAGTAATATACACGGTCATATCATAGTAGAGCTGCTACATTGTGGTTGTATTGATGAGTGTAGGCAAGAAGTTGGGCTTTCTTAATCAAGAGACTTCAGTGTCAGTGTTCTCGTTTGGTGTGCTCTCAGCTTTGTAATTCTGATTTCTACTTTGCTCATATATTATGTTTTTCCTGCTTTAAGTCTTTTGCAGCCGAAAAGTTTTGAGTTCCCATTGGTTGGTCTTGTATTGTCTCAAATTTGAGTTTTGCATAGTCATGCGAGCAGGATCATAACAGGTCTGATTGTCAGTTGTTTTTTTTGGGATGGGTCCGATGGGTAGAAAACTGGCTTGGGAAGGGTGAGTCTGACCACCGCGAGTGTGCTCATTGGCCATCACCAGGTAGGTCCACCTGTTCCCAATTCTGTCCTTCTCCCTTGATCACACCAACCCCAGTGTCACCTCACTTCCTCCCACCGCACCCATGGTTGCTGCTGGAAGAGCAGCTATCCGTGACTGTTCCTCACCCTTCTTCCTCAATGAGCGCTCACTGCCCCACTGTGTGCTCCAGCAGAGCTAGCGCTGGCAGCCAGTTCCTTCGAACGTGCAGAATGCTGCGGCCTTGTTCTTCTTCTTCTTCTTCTTCTTCTTCTTCTTCTTCTTCTTCTTCTTCTTCTTCTTCTTCTTCTTCTTCTTCTTCTTCTTCTTCTTCTGCTGCTGCTGCTGCTGCTGCTGCTGCTGCTGCTGCTGCTGCTGCTACTGCTGCTTTCTTTTTCTTCTTTCTTTGCAATCTCCCTTCCATCAGCCATCGCCCTTTCCTTCACCATCTCCCTTCTCTGACATCAACCTTCTCTCTGCCATAACCTTCTTCCGGCCAGCTCTCTTCCCACCACCACCTCCCTTCCCTTCACAATCATCCTTCTCTCCGCCATTTCCCGTCCATCGGTCAAACACTAATCACCCCCTGTATCCACCATCTTCCCCTCTTCTCCTCCTCCTCCTCTTTTCTTCTTCTTCTTTTCTTCTTCTTCTTCTTCTTCTTCTTCTTCTTCTTCTTCTTCTTCTTCTTCTTCTTCTGCTTCTGCTTCTGCTTCTGTTTCTGCTTCTTCTTCTTCTTCTTCGGCTCCTTGGCACGGTTTGCCAAGGTGGTAGCTGGTCACTGGGGATCCGAGATCTCCCGACTGTACCCCTACCAGGTCACAAGACGAGAATCTGGGCTGATTCTTTATCCCCCTTGCCCCATATTTTTCCTACCTCCCCTTTTTTCCTGCCCTCTTCTGCATGACGGAATTCTTAATTCAAAATTCAAAATGCGGAATCGGCAATGTTTCGGGGCAAGGCTGTGGTTTGCTCCGAGCATTGATTTGCGATGAATCTGCCTGGCTACTGTATTGGTCGTAGAATTCCGTCAACCATGGCCGTGTTCTCAGCGAGTCGACCATGGTTTATCTGTGTTTCTCCAGCTTTTTCTGGAAAATGGAAAAGAAAAATATGCGGGTCTTTCTGCGTTGTACTTTAGCACTAGGAGTTCCGATTTTAGAAGCCTGAATTTTTGTCTGTACTCTGATATCCGTTGGAACGACGGACGGGCGGATCTGATCCCTGAACGGACTACCTACGGGAATCAAGGTTTTTTTCGGCCCCTGAGGAGCCCGTAGCAAAAAAAATGGGTTGGTTCTGACATTTGGGAACCGGGTGTTGTGGTACTCTGGGATAGCGGGTCCAGCAGTGCGAGTGGCACGCTGCGGCTCGACTTCTTTGACTATGGAAGCCGCCGGTGGCACGCTGCGGCTTTAGTTCTTTGAGTATGGAAGCCGCTGGCGGCATTGCGCTGAGAGGTGGGAACGGTTGGACATACCAAGGATATGGGAAGGACAAGGCGGTGGGAGAAGTGGAAGGGAGAAAGGATAGTGGAAAGCGTGGGAGGGTGATGTGCATTCGTGAGCTATAATTATAGTGAGGGAACGTGTTCTCTCCTCATATTGGTGGGTGGTTGGTCCTCCTGAAGAGACTTGTGTACGCACAAGTCGAAACGCTTCGAGGGAGTGTGTACATTAACGGTGTTTGGCGAAGAGAGTTTTTGGGGATGGAATGCTTATATTTTTCATACTCTTGGTCCTCCGTGTGAGCAGATGTTTCCTCTGTTCGTTTATTACCCTGTTAATTCAATTCTTCTTCTGCCCCCCCCCCCCGCCCCCCCATTTTTCTCTGCCATTCCTGTTCTCTTCTTCTTCCAGTTCTTCTCCCCGCCCTCCCTGCCCCCCCACCCCCACCTGCCCCCACCCCCCCGCCCTTCCCCCCCAAAACTGGGCATCCAAGTTTTCAATACAAAACGGTGGATTTTGCATGTTCTCGACAAGCACATTTACACTGCGCAATCAGGCAAAAAAAAAAAAAAAAAAAAAAAAAAAAATTAAAATTGTACATTTTTCGGCATCCCAAGATTGGCCGGGCAGACCCCCCTTCCCATCCGGGGGCCAGGTCCCATTAGCAGCATTGAGTTTCCTCAACGCCTGAATCTGGACGTGTCTGTGGATATGTGCAGAAATCGCGTTGAGTTTTCTCAACCACACATCTCCCAGAACGCGTCCAGATTCAGGCGTTGAGGAAAATCAACGCTGCTAGTGGGACCTGGCACCGGCCTGGGCACCTCGGCTGGGGGAACTTCATAAAACCTAGCTGAAAAGCGAAATTAAAAGCTTTCATCAAGCCGGTTTCCCCCCAATTACTAAATGACCATTAGGAAAGGGGTGTTACACTGTTAGTTTATACTGTCAAAACTGAAATGAACTTACATTCCCAGCTGATCAGTGATGATCAAAAAGCTTTCATCAAGCCAGTTTCCCCCCAATTACTAAATGAGCATTAGGAAAGGGGTGTTACACTGTTAGTTCATACTGTCAAAACTGAAATGAACTTACAGTCCCAGCTGATCAGTGATGATCGCCGGGGTCTATCTGGCCCCTGTAGTTCTTCTGCTTTTCCTTCGCTGTACTGGGTCACTTCCACTTGCATTCTGAACAATTGCACAAAACAGAACAGAACGGACAAAACGTACGAATGTAAGGACTTTAAATGCTTCGACAGGAGTTTGTGTGTTATAGATTTTCCCCACAACAGCCCCAATTCCACCCAGATGAATAGATTCAGAATCAAAGCAGTCTTTGTCCTATTGCAGACAACGAGCATTTGAGATGAGACAGTCACAGTCCAACATACTAAGCCGATTTTATAATTCGACAGTTTTTTGGTTATCCTTGGGGTGCCCCTTCCATTGTTCTTGCAGCTCCCCTTTTACTGTGCCTCTTACGTACAAGGCTGCCCACATTGATTGTGGTTGAGCGGCAGCTGCCCACATCCCCGTGTGCCTTCATGCCCCATTTGCACGTAATTTCAGAAACCAGCCGCGCCCCGGGCCCAAAAAACAAGAAACATTTTTGGGCAAGGGCTGCCGAATTTCAATTTCCACAGGCCCTTTCCCCAAAAGTTTCAAAATGGCGAATCATGAAGGATGCAGGACCCTGAGTTCGGAGGGGGTTGATCCGAGCCGCGACGCCTAGGTAGCACCAGTCTTGGGTGATACCGGCAGAGTGTGGGTGTGGCTACGGTTTGAGCCTTGACTTGAGCGATTCTGTGTGTGGGTGAGGCCACCACGCTGATGGGTTGGCTGAATCTGGTGCATGAAGCCTCCCGCCGGCTTCCCCGTAGGAGTTGAATCCCCGACACCTCACAACCCTTTTTTATAGAAAATACTAAAATAGGGCTCATTCCAACTCTTTTTTTAGGCGGGGTGTGAAACTAGCCTTCCGCCTCCCTTCTGCAAATCCCACACAGTGGTGTGAAAAATTTGCGAGAAGGGGTTAACTGCCCAATAGCAACCTGCCCTGCAACGCTTCGCAGAAGTCACAGAACATGTTTCACATGGCCAGCCGACCACCAATATATGCTGAAGATTGGAATTCAGGTCTGCATGTCGGCAGTTATGGGTTAGGAGCTTAGGATGAAGATGCCTGTAGCTCTCTCGTTTTCTTGTTTTTGTTTTCTAATGAATACGTACAGTAGGGCCTGCTCCACTACTCACCACATGCACCAAATACATAGCATATGGCGGTGTATGGGTTCCATGTTTAGCATATGGCGGTGTATGGGTTCCATGTTTAGCAGAAGATTCATTCTACTAATGTTATATACATTATTTTGATTTATATGCATTTGCTGAGTGGTGGAGGGAGGCCCTGAGAACCACGTGAAGTTTTTTTTCTTTTTTTCTTTTGACTAGGCTGTTTTTTCGGGCACCCAACTTCTGCCCGGGTACACGCCCGGGTGCCCGGCCGGGCATGACCCGCGGGCAGGGTTCAGGGCAGTCCCAGCGCGGGAAAAAAAAAAAAAAAAAAAAAAAAAAAAAAAAAAAAAAAAAAAAAAAAAATCCGAAAAAAAAATGTTGTGCAGAATTGAAATACAAACCACTTTTGGCTGAGGGTCACATTATAACTCCTCACAGAATCGGAGATAAAAACGAAAATAACAGAATCACACAAAGGCACCCCCCTTGAGACCCCTTTGGCCCCTTCAAGACCAATTTATACCCCCCTTCCCCCCCTTGACAGCCAACTCGCAGAAATCGAAATGAGCCCGGATTTGGGGTCCTCTTTGTTACATGCTGCGCCTGCAACAGGCTGCACGGGCCATTTTCAGGCCCATGTCGTTTTCAGCCTGAAAGCCTGAAAACAAGGGCCTACAGAACCTGTGTCATTTCAGCCTGAAAGCCTGAAAACAAGGGCCTACAGGCCCTGTGTCATTTCAGCCTAAAACAGGGCCCTCCAGGCCCTGAGTCTTTTCAGCCTGAAACGGAGGGCCATTTTCAGGCCCTCATAAGATCGACCTGCCCTGAAACTTAGGCACCAGACCAGGATTTTAGCACAGGCCATTTTGGGCCTGTTTTCAAGACAACCTTTCTTTGAGCTTCAACGCCAGGGTCTGGCACGTTTTGGCATTGGCAAGAGCAGCCTCCTGGACGGGCCAGCACTATATAAGACTGGCCCGCCCGCAGGCTGCAGGCAGTTCATAGGGACTTCCCAGGCACTTCACGTGCAGTTCAGGAGGCAGGAGGTAGTCTTCAGGATTCGGCAGCAGCACTCTGGAGGAGCGCTGCAGTAGTAGTAGTAGCGTTAGCAGTAGCCTTCAGCGCTGGGCGCTAGTAGGAGCTAGAGTGGTCCTGGAGAGAGAGAGAGATTGGGCGGAGGCCAGGGAGACTTACCTGCAGCACCATAGCTCCAGCTTCGTCTTCGAGGTACCTGCAGCACAGCGCCACCTTCAGAGGTTAGTACTTGGCACATGAGAGAGAGAGAGTTCTTCTTCTTCCTCTTCTCAGTCCACCATCTCCCTCTCACCCTCTCACTACCTGACTTCACTGCATCAACAGACTACGAGAGAGCGGGCTTGGTGACATTTGGATCCAGACTCGACATTGGGCTTCAGACATTTGACAAGGGATTATCTGGGACTTGTAACGACGACTTGGTGTTGACAACATTCCCATCTTCCCCCTTCTTCTTTGTCTGATCCCCTCCTCTTCGTCTGTGTATGGTCTGGACCTGGCGCATTCTTCCTGTGTGTAGCGTCAGGCCCCTTCACACCTTGTGATGAGGATGATGTATGTTTGGTCTGTATTGCGACATTGGTTGGGCTACTCATTTGGTATTCTAGCATTCTGCTGCGCTGTCTTGTACTAGGTGAGGGAGGTCAGTACCGGTCAGGTCAGGGCTTTTATCTAAGTCTTCCCCTGCGCTATTATGTGCCATTTTTGTATGTATCAGGATGTACACTGCTTGTTGAGATTCCACAGCACTGCATTATCCATTCAGTCCTTTTCATCACATTGCGGATCCTTGGCTATATAGATACATCGCCCAACTGGGCATGTAACAGTTGGTATTGGAGCACCGCACGTGAATCAGGACAGCCTGATCTGACACATGTGCGGGGACCAAGTAGATAATTAGTTTGATTGATTGATGATTAGAGCATATGCGAAGATTCGGTTCTCGGCAGGCCTAAGAGGCCTAAGCGGACCCTGTTGCATCTGTGCCCGCCCTAAGTGAAGGCGGGCCTAACAAATCACGAGAGGCCCTCAGCTGTCAATTTCGTATTTGGGGTCCAGGTAGTTGTGATGCGCCAGTTGGTTGAAGGGAAACACAGGCCAAGCAACAAAGATATTTCACGGCCTTCTGGGCTTTTCCAAGAATGCAGGCCCTGGGCGAGAATCGCAGCCTCATACACTGACAGTTGAGAGGCCCAACCGAAAAAGGCCCAGTGGCTGCAACACAAGCGCAGCATCCTGGGGCCTACCGGAAGCTTCTGGGCCCAGGCCAGTCCAGCCAGGCTGCAAAGGCAGGAGGCTCTTTCCATATAGGAAAGAGCTCGGCACCGGCAGCCTCATTCAGGCACTCGCATGCTAGCGGCAGCGCTGCTGGAGCGGACGCTCATGGGCTGCTGCTGGCGCTGAGAGGCGAGGTGCTAGCGCGTGCGGTCATGCAGGGAGCAGGGCGCTGCTGAGGGCAGCGCCATAGCCCAGCCTCCATAGCTGGTTGGGCTTGGACTACAGTGAGGCGCAGGGGTGGTCTTCGGGTGTACAGGAGAAAGACGTGGGTGTAAGACGAGGGAGAGGGAGAAGGATGATGATGTGAGGGCACATACCTGGTATTGGCGATGGTCTGCTACGGGCGACATCTTGAAGTACTTCGTGGGCTGCTGACATCAACAGTTGCATCGTCAATTGGTAGGCAGACTGTAGCTGTATAGTGAGTAGGCTGGGCGCCAAGTGCCAAGTAGGAGATAGGGCCTGGACACTCATGTTGGTGGTGGCGAGAGCCAGCTCTCATTGACATTGGTTTTCAGTGTTTCGATTCTTCATTGGTGTTGTATTGGTGCATTTTTGCTTTTTGGATACAGTGATACTATCTGGCCTTCAGTGTGATTGTGTATGCTGGTTGTCATCTCGCTATTGCTCTTTTTCCTTGCACATACTAATTAGCCCCCAAAATCACGATTTTGACCTCACTGCCGAAAATCAATTTTTTTTTTTTCTTTGATTTTGTTTTCCCGCTATTTCTGTTGTGAAAAATCGCAATAGCGCAACACCTGAAATTTCCATTTTCGTTCTTCTTCTAAAAATTCGAAATTTCGTTGTTGGAAATTCGGAATATCTTTTTTTTCGAAAATTTTGATTTCCTTTTGCAATTTCCCGTTATTTGGAAATCCGAAATATTTTTTTCCGAAATTCGTTTTTCGAAAACGGTACGGGAAATCCCTCTTGCAGTTATCATTTTCCGAACTGCGTGTACTCTCATCTGAGTAATTCCGAAGATATATATTTGACGATATATATATCGTCAAATAGAACTGCCCGGTAAACCGTAGGCAGAGAGGGACAAGAGGACAACAAACGAGGGGCTGTGATATATATATATCGTCACAAACAGAACTGCCCGGTAAAACCGTAGGCAGAGAGAGAGAAGAGGACAACAAACGAGGGGCTGTGACAAACTGTTTTGTCGGAGTTTCACATAGAGTTTTCCATCTGGTGTGGGTGAGTGATAGTCTACTTTGATTTTGGTTAAGGTAGATTATCATTTACAGTGTAATCAGTGAGGGGATTCTGCAGACTGTTGAGGGTTCAGCCTCCTG